CGGTTGCTCTGTAGATGGGAGTAAATGGGTAAGGAGACGAGAAAAAAAATTTAGACAGAACAATGACAGAGAATTCTTGGACTGGAGAAACAAATCCTCTTGAGAGGAAAGGCCAATATTGGAGTAATTTTTTATATCAAAACTGTTTAAAACTCAGTAGAAAAGGTGTTTGAAGTCTAAGGGACAAGATGCTTGGCCTTGTAGGCCGAGGGTAGGCCTCGGCCTGTTCCCAGCCACAGCTAATATCCATTTCACTGGATATTAGCAGAGTGATAGATCAGAGTAATTGTACTGATTTGAACGGAATTCCAGCATTGAGGGCAGACTGATCCCTAAGGTCTCCTCCTTGCAGACCACTCACAAACAAGCTCCACTTCTCCCCACCAAACAGTCGCCCCAGAAGTCAATGCAACTACTTTAGGCCCTTTCCTAACTGCAGAATAGGGTCCATATATGAAATCTGAGTCTTCAACATACCGCTGAGAAGACAGCTGCAAATAAAGTATTTCCACCCTAGAACACAGCCAGCCACCCTCCGTTCATTAGTATCATTTGTAGTATTCACGTTTCTGCAGAGGCACTACATGACCTAGAAGCATCTAGGCCACTTCTAGAGCCTTCAGCCTCATCCACCTTCTCCCTCACCTGCCTTTTGTTCTGCTTTTTCATTTTAACTAGCAACTCTATGGATTTTTAAGTAAAATGAAGTAAAATACCCATAATCTCTGCAAGACTATTTAATTTTTGCTCCCTGTCTAATCTTTCTCATAAAGCAGTATATATTTTTTTAATCCTCCAAGCAAAATAATAACAAAGATAATCTAGCTGAGTGTAACCAATTCTTTATTTTCCTGGCCTTTTAATTTAATGTCACCTCCTGCGGTTTTAAAAAAATATTAGGATTATATCATCTTGTTACTGTTTATATCATGTGCCTGTAAAAAATGAGAAGCAACTGGCTCTCATCTTATTACCTGCCAGACAGAACATTCATATTCATGCAGCATATTTTTAAATTAAAACTCAGGGAAAAAAAAAAATCTCATTGATGAGCAGGAGTTAGATATCTCACTCCAAATTCCATTGGCAAAAAAGTTTAAGAATAGGGTAGTACTTCCTTTGCAGCAGGAAAGGAAGGGGAACCACTGGTGGTTGTCCTCAGCTTGCAGACGCTCATCTCTGGTTTTGTGAGAAAAAAGAAGAGTTCATGAGCAGCTCTTAGCTAGCAAAGCAATACATGGAAAGGAAGATCATCTTTCAAGAAGTAAGCTCGAAACCATGAAGCTTTTCTTAAAAAAAATCAATAATAACCCATTGTACTGTCCACAGGTATAAGAGGAAAACACATAACCACAGAAAAACCCACAAAAATAAGGAAAAAAAACACAAAAATAAGAGCAGTCGTTAGAACAGGTATAAGATACCCCTGGGGCCTAGTAACAGCAAATTGTTGCTACCTTCCTCCTTAGTGTTTTTTTTTCTTCATAGCTTTCAAAATGAGCCAGCGCACATCCACCCACCAACGCACAGGTGACAAAAGCACAGATATTTGCAGTAGAGCCCCTGCCTGTGGTTAAGGCTTTCATTCTAGCGTTGTTTATCACAAAGACGCACGCAGTAGTTCAGGCTAAATGTCACCAGCCTGGTAGAGCATTCTCAAACCCCCCCCCCCCACTTTTAGGCACTTATGCCTAAATTATCTTTAAATATAAAAATAGATAATTACTACAAAAAGCTAAATGCAGATACAAACTTATCCAGCCAGCATCTTTGATAAATACTGGAAGCTCTTTGCTAAACAAGTGATTTTAGTAACACTAACTTACAGCCTCCTCAGAAAAGGAATATATTGATTACAAATATAGACAGTCTCTTCCTAACATTTATTATTTTGCACTCAAGGAGAGCAGTCACCTGCGGATAACAGAGCAGATGGATTCAAGCCCCTGTAGGTAATATTTGTTCTACCAGCTTTACTAGCTAATAGCTTCCATGTGTTAATAATCAATCACAGCCCGGTACAAAATATTTTTTAACATGCCAACCAAGGTGCTCGTCACTGCCCAGGTAGGATGGCTACAGAATTAATTCAGTACAATAAAAGGAGATCTTTTTGTCGTGCAGACTTGCATGTGTTTTTCACAAAGGCCTGAAGACTCCCATTTCCCAAATTTCCTCTATTAGACTATCATGAAATATTCTGAACTCTGGGGCATTTTTTTTCCACAAAGAAATGGTTACATGATTGAAAAGGAATCCCATTTTTTAAACTAGAGCTTGAGAGCACCCTGCTCCATTTGAAGTATTAAGTGATTCCATTCTTGCCTTTTTTTTTTTTTTTGTATTGCAGTGGTGAAAGCTCCTCTTGAACTCAGAGGAGAAAACTAAACTGAGTCACTGTGTGCGAATTTCCTCTGCTTATAGCGACAATATTGTCCCTACACAGCCCTTTGCTTTTATATGAAGGGAGACAGGACAGGGCTTCAGATTCGACTTGCAGAAGCAGCGGTTTATGAAGTTGCCAAAGTCAAGCTGCAATAATCATATTCTCCATGGGGTTTTGGCTGTCGCTATAGTCACCTTCTTTCCTTCAAATATGCTCTTCATTGTTCTAGTGCCCTTTTTCCAATTGTTCTATGGCCAAGTTCTTGGAAAGCAATCATGCTGCTTGTTTAGGATTTATTGCTAGTCTTTTGCCAATAAAGACATGCACAAATCTCTCCTGTAATCATCCTGCAAAGGCAAGCTAAAAATATAGCAATAGGAGGACTGGCACATTTTACATGTTATATGGCAGCAGGGTGCATTCTGAGATACAAAAAAAAAAAAAAAAATAAGGCAGCCCCCTTTCATTAGGTCAAGGCTGTGCTTGGGTGCCATGAATATCAGCTTTTTAGAATGCCAGTAATACCTGGAATGGAAAAAAAAAAGAAAGAAAAAAAAATGTTTATCTTCCAAATTGCCTATTTTAAAGCTAATAGCCATGATGACTCATTTATCTATTCGTAAAACTTTAAGGGTGCATAGGAGTGACAACTGTGCCGTTTTGTTTTTGCTTTTTTTAACAAGTTTGTGAAGGATTTAGTAACTTACTACAGTCAAGTTGTATTTGGGCTTTGAAATGTGTTTCAAGCTGTCAAAGAAAATTCATGTGCCCAAAAGGGGCACCTTACACTAGGGAAGACTACGTCCTTATGGCTGGAAGTAGTGGATCACGAAAAAGATTACCCGGATTCTCTATGCATGGCACCCCTTATTCCATCACATTGTTTGCTCTTCATATACACATCAAATTTCAATCTTTAGGCTCTCAAAGACTTGCCTTTTACCACCTTATTTCTTTGGACTGGCAGAGATGAGGACTAATGACGGTGTGGATCAGTATTAGAGCTTCTTGGTACTAAGGCTCTTCAAGTTCATCTGAAATTCTGACACACTCAGGTCTTCATCCATCTTCTGCCCTCCCATTGCCTCCTCTGCTCCAATTTTGGCCCCTTAGACCAGGAAACTGAGTCCAGATTCATTCACAAACCCAGACTCACTTTTAGCAGCTTGGGCATTCCCCTTGGTAATGGTTCTGCAGTGATTCTGTCTCTGAGACATGACTGCTGAGCCTCGGAAACAAGAAGGCTAATGAAAAGGTCCAGATACGCGTCTCACCACTCCACCATTTAGGGGTTCTTACTCAATCCGAAATGCCTGCAGTTGCTGTCATTTTCCTTCTAAAGGTTCTCATCTCTCTCGTCTTCCCTTCTCTGCTTATTCTTTTCCTCAGATAACAAAGGATGGTCCCAAATACCTATTCAGTTCCTACCCGATTGCTTCCTCCTTTATAATTAAAGCAGTTGTATTTTTTATTCAGCCTTGAAAGGGCTTGATAATTCGTGCAATGGGATTTGGCATCTAAGAATTGATGATTGAGGAAACAGCATAAATTTATTACTAATAAGTTAGAAAATAACTTTCAAATGCAATAAAACTCCCATTTTCAACTTGTTAAGACTTTGAGTACAAGAAAATTATATGTGATTTTGTGTCAAAATACTTCATAATCTACAAACGGATGAAGAGTTTCTGAAACTTATTCTCTGCTAGAAATTACTCAATAAAATAAGCTTTTCTATGTAAAGTGCACTTGTTTTTGTTGCTCAAATAAGGTTGTTCTGCCATCACAAGGTGTCAGTTGTTTCTGGGTGTGCTTCTCATTGTAATCATGAATATTCTGGTGCAAGTATTTGCATAGTCAGTTATGAAATTTGCTTCCCAATATTTCTGCTGAAAAAAAAATCACTTTGCATTTGTGGCTGCTTTAGTAAAATTCAGTCACAAAGAAACAAGAGACAACGGGGAAAAAAAAATTAAAAAGACTTAGTAGGGCCAAAGCAAACGAGTTGCAAAATTTGAACAACCAATGTTTGCTAGAAAATGTTTGTGGTGGTCACGCAGGTCAACTAGGTCCCTTACAAAGGTCCTCACTGCTGCACTTTACATTGCAGCTTTACCTGAACTTTCCTTTGACGCTAGTTTGAACTTTCTCCCTTCGGTAACAACGTTGGCTTTAGTTCCTGCTGCAATCGTGATAAACTCCTGCTTCCACTCAAGTCTGCAGAACGGATCCCATTACTGCTCCTGCCGACGTTCAGTATCACATTGCAGGCACTAACAACCATATAATTGAGCTAATATGGATATTACTTTTGACTTAACAAGTGGAAACACACATGCATGTACTTTGCTTTGGCTACAGGTTAGCCTGGCTAAATCTCTCCCCAGAGTCTGCAGGAACAGAAGCAAGCTTATTTTTAGGTACCATAACCCTTGATATATTCATTTGTTTTTACTCTTGATCTTCAATATGCTGCCCAGCCTCTTCATCTACAAAACCATTCACTTACATCATTCCCTTCAAATTTTAGAAATACTTTACTCATAGAGGCTAATGATAACTGAAACCTTGGAAGCATCTATGATTCAGATGTATTAATGCTTATGGCTTCGTGATGTCAGGTACGTGACTTTCAAGTTATCCCTCGTTTCCAAAAAAACTCAGTCAAAAAATGCTCTAAATATATGCACTGGACCTCAAAAAATGTTTTGGGGACATCATATATAGATAAAATAAGAGTTAGAATATAATGTAGAGGAAATACTGAAAAAGTTCTGGATTGTAGCTGACAGCTTCTCTATTCTTCTTCTACCGCATCACCATTACCATCCTGCTGAGGATGGTAGAAAAATACCATAAAACAGAGAGGCATATTAAAAGTGACTGGAAAAATATTGGCTCTCCGAAACCAACACACAATAACTGCATTTCTCCAGAGCAATAATTAATACCATCCTTTAAAGTATTCCTAAAGCCTTTTGAAATCTAAAGCAGTACTATATTGCTGGTGTGCTGCGCATCCTAAACAGTATTATAAGAATAAAACAGAAAAATAGTAATTCTCCATTAGAAGGCAGAAAGTTATAGCCCCCAATCTGCTCAGACACCTTTGCCCTTATTTATAGGGCTTTATTTTCCCCCCCGGGGGGGATGTCAGGACTTTAGCCTTTAGCTAAGCCTCGCGAGTTCAACACCCCACAAGTTACACAAACACTGTGGTACAGTCGGAGCTATTTCCCATGCAGAGGGATCGCTCCGGAGGGGGACAATTTGGAAGGTCTCCTTCACCAAGCCGGCACTGCTGGACTTGGCTTGCAGAGCCTCGGGAGCGCGCGAGGCCGAATCCGCCGGGCGGTCTCCGGAGCAGCCGCTTCCAGGCTCTCCGGAGCGCAGCTGAAGGAAAACCCTGCAGGTTTTACGTGCAGCGACTAAACCCGCTCACTCTAGCAAGTGTTCCCAGGCCACGGAAGTTTGAACAAAGGCTTGGAAAAATATCTTAAATGATTAAAAATACATATAATGATAGTAATAAATAAGGAGTAACGGTGGTGGAGAAGAGTCTCCTCTGGCAGGGATGCTGCAGCCAGGCGATGTGCGACGGGCCGCCGCGGGGAGGGGAGGGCAGCGCGGGCGCGGGAGGGCAGCGCGGGTGCACGGGGCTCGGCGCGGATCCTGCG